TCCTGAGGCATCACAGAATACATGTAGCTTAATTGATGTTTTTCATTAACTGTCTTCTGAGGGAACTTGTCAGACTCTAGGATACTTAAATCTTTCACTAGCCCTTGCCACTTTTCTTGTAAAGAAGGTGTTAGAAGATCATCCCAGCCTATCTTCTGTTGCCAGCATTCCTGCATTATCAACTTTCCATTTATTAAGATTGGACTTAATAGTCCTAATGGGTCGAAGGGTTTGCTGACTTGTGATAATAATTTTTTCATTGTTAGGTTGGTTCCACCGACTTGATTGTCAACTGATCTGCAGTTGTATCTCATTCGACGCCTAGTACCGTTGTCTTCTGGGGTACCTTGTAGTCGGGAAATTCTGTTTGATTAGTTGATTTAATTTTGTATTGTTGGAGACCCATGACTGGAGAGGCATATTTGCTCCCAATAATTCTCGATTGGCCTCGTCATATATGTTCAGCAGTTTACTTTCACTGCTGTTTGTTCCTTGGAAATTGTCCACATACAGATTGTTGCTAATTTCAGTTTTGTTTGGGCTATTAGTCTCCGTGGTGTAGTGGTAAGACACTCGCCTGGCGTTCCGCGAGCGCTATGTCATGGGTTCGTATCCTGGCTGGGGAGGATTTACTGGGCGCAATTCCTTAACTGTAGCCTCTGTTTAACGCAACAGTAAAATGTGTACTTGGACGAAAAAACGATTCTTCGCGGCAGGGGATCGTATTCCAGGGACCTGCCCGAAACGCTACGCGTACTAGTGGCTGTACAAGAATGTAACAACTCTTGTATATATCTCAAAAAAAAAAAAAATTAGACTTCTTCAAGTCCAAGGTAGCTTGAAGCAGAATTGGAGAAGAAGTCGCACCAAACAAAACTGATGTGAACCTGTATTTGACCATTTCACTGTTTGGATCATTAGGATCCTTGATGAATAGGAACTTGGTACAGTTACGGTCTTCTTCTTAAAGACCTACCCTAAGGAAGGCCTTTCTTGATGTCAGCCGTGTATGCATAATTTCCGATGCAGAACTTTAACAGCATTTTGTATAGCCTCTGAAAAAGGCTAGGGCTAGTTTGAAGGCAGTCATTCAATGAAACACTATTCTGCTTGCTCTTAGCACTGCAGTTAAATATTATTCTTATTGGGGTAGTAGCTGAATTTGTCAGTACTGGGTGGTGCGGCAGGTAGTGCCCAACCTCGATAAGTTTGTTATTGAGCTGTTGCTTGATATCATGGATAATAATCCTGGCCGGGGAGGATTGATCGGGCGCCAATCCTTAACTGTAGCCTCTGTTCACCCAGCAGTGAATGGGTACCTGGTTGTTAAACGATTCGGCGGGTCGTATTCCGGGGAAATTAGGGTTAAGGACCTTGCCCGAAACGCTACGCGTAATAGTGGCTTTACAAGAATGTAAAAAAACTCTTGTATAAAATATATTTTAACAGAATAAATAATAAACAGAAATGCAAGATTGTTACAAAAAGGTGAAATAGTTACTTAAAGTGTTGTGTTTTGTGACAAGTTAAATGTAATGAACGAATTTTGACTGTAAATGTCTTAGCAAAAGCTCTTAACACATAAAAGTCAGTAATTTTTATTAATTTTCACTTGAAGCGTAAGTTTATTAGTACATAAGGTTTGCACATGTTTAGTTTGATGTAATACTTAAAGTTGTTTGAGGATACATAATGCAGTGTCTTACTTTACAAATATTTTGAAAAGTTGCCCTTCACTACTTATTTATTGAATGAAGAATAACGTTTGTTACACTTGAGAGATTATTTGATGCTTGAAGAAGTCCTAGAGAGTGACTATTTTATATAAAGTCGTGTTAAAGAGTGCAAATGACAATTAAAATGATTTTGGAAAGTATTATTGCTGTCTTGGAGAGATTCTTTAAATGCATGAAGATTTTAGAGAACATTCTTCTTAAGTAAAGACAACACAGAGAGTCAGAGAGTCACAAAACGTCCGAAATACAGCAGGTTTAAATCTCAGGGGGAATTGATATATTATTAAAGTAGTCGTAGGACAAAACTAAGACATAGAGACAGAAGCTGGAGTTCAGTAACTGTGTTTACCATATTTACTACATCTGAAATAACTATGTTTTAAATCTTGAGGAAATTGATCAGATAATAACGGGGGTGTGAGAGGGAACTAAGGTGGACTAAGGAGGGAACAACCGTGGACATTTTCAAGAGGAAACTAGATTTATTCCTCCAAGGAGTGCCGGACCAACCGGGCTGTGGTGGGTATGTGGGCCTGCGGGCCGCTCCAAGCAACAGCCTGGTGGACCAAACTCTCACAAGTCAAGCCTGGCCTCGGGCCGGGCTTGGGGAGTAGAAGAACTCCCAGAACCCCATCAACCAGGTATCAACCAGGTAAGGTGGTGGAGGGGGTGGGGGGCAGGAAGTGAAGCTTGGTAACTAAATTGTTGTATTTTATTATGTCTGAAATACAGTGCTTTTAAATTTCAGGGAAATTAGCATTAACGGAGTTATAGGAGTAAAGTAACGTGGAGGACAAGAGCTGAAATTTGGTAATTGCTTTCACCCTATTTACTATGCAATAAATAGAGCGGGTTAAAACTTCAAGGGGAATTGGACTGTTAGTATCGAGTCTACGAGAGTAAACTAAGGCGGGGGGACAGGAGCTAGAACTTTTTAACTCTATTTTCGTTACTTACTCTGTCAGAAGTATGATTGCTTTAAATTTTAGAGGATTTATTTAGATACTAATGAAGATACGAGAGGGGACTAAGACAGGGATGGGAGCTAGCACTGGGTGTCTCATTTTATCTTATTTACTATGTCTGAAATATGATTGGTTTTAATTAGGCTATTAGTAGCGAAACTACACTTATAAATGTAAAGAGCTCAGTCAAAGCGCTAATATCTAATGAACGTTTTAAAATATCTGCTCAACACTGAAGAGTTTAATTTCCTCCATAAGATAACCATAACCTCTTAAGAATGCAGGTGTACGTAAAACTCCTGTAAGTAAGTAAATATTTGGGTCATAAACTGGTCTCTGACAAATTTCGGTCTCAAACTAGACTCTAGCAATATATGAACTTCTTCCATAAGAACTCTGTAAAAACACAGCAAGGATTAAAACTATGAAAATTGGGTCTTAAACTGGTCTCTATAACATTTGGTCTTAAACTGGTCTTGGCAAATATTTAGGTCTTAAACTGGTCTCTGTCTAATTTCGGTCTTAAACTAGTCTCTTAATAATTTCGGTCTTAAAATGGGTTACATAGCAGTAAATGGATATAAAACTAAACGTTACTGCTAAGATGTCTATTTTCCTTAACAAAACTTCTATGAACATATTATCAGAAAATGGTCTGAAGTATTTCGGTCCTAAACTATTCTCTGAAAATATTTCGGTCTTAAACGAGTATGTCAGTGACGAGTTAAAACTCTGACAATTTTTTCCTGGGACCTCTGATGTCTTAGCAGTAACTGGCCTTAAAAAAATTTCAGTTAATGCTAAGTCGTCAACTCTACTTCTAAGGTTTACTCTTCCCTACAAGCAGTGAACGTTTACTCTCCACCCACAGGCAGTGAACGTTTACTCTCCACCCACAGGCAGTGAACGTTTACTCTCCACCCACAGGCAGTGAACGTTTACTCTCCACCCACAGGCAGTGAACGTTTACTCTCCACCCACAGGCAGTGAACGTTTACTCTCCACCCACAGGCAGTGAACGTTTACTCTCCACCCACAGGCAGTGAACGTTTACTCTCCACCCACAGGCAGTGAACGTTTACTCTCCACCCACAGGCAGTGAACGTTTACTCTCCACCCACAGGCAGTGAACGTTTACTCTCCACCCACAGGCAGTGAACGTTTACTCTCCACCCACAGGCAGTGAACGTTTACTCTCCACCCACAGGCAGTGAACGTTTACTCTCCACCCACAGGCAGTGAACGTTTACTCTCCACCCACAGGCAGTGAACGTTTACTCTCCACCCACAGGCAGTGAACGTTTACTCTCCACCCACAGGCAGTGAACGTTTACTCTCCACCCACAGGCAGTGAACGTTTACTCTCCACCCACAGGCAGTGAACGTTTACTCTCCACCCACAGGCAGTGAACGTTTACTCTCCACCCACAGGCAGTGAACGTTTACTCTCCACCCACAGGCAGTGAACGTTTACTCTCCACCCACAGGCAGTGAACGTTTACTCTCCACCCACAGGCAGTGAACGTTTACTCTCCACCCACAGGCAGTGAACGTTTACTCTCCACCCACAGGCAGTGAACGTTTACTCTCCACCCACAGGCAGTGAACGTTTACTCTCCACCCACAGGCAGTGAACGTTTACTCTCCACCCACAGGCAGTGAACGTTTACTCTCCACCCACAGGCAGTGAACGTTTACTCTCCACCCACAGGCAGTGAACGTTTACTCTCCACCCACAGGCAGTGAACGTTTACTCTCCACCCACAGGCAGTGAACGTTTACTCTCCACCCACAGGCAGTGAACGTTTACTCTCCACCCACAGGCAGTGAACGTTTACTCTCCACCCACAGGCAGTGAACGTTTACTCTCCACCCACAGGCAGTGAACGTTTACTCTCCACCCACAGGCAGTGAACGTTTACTCTCCACCCACAGGCAGTGAACGTTTACTCTCCACCCACAGGCAGTGAACGTTTACTCTCCACCCACAGGCAGTGAACGTTTACTCTCCACCCACAGGCAGTGAACGTTTACTCTCCACCCACAGGCAGTGAACGTTTACTCTCCACCCACAGGCAGTGAACGTTTACTCTCCACCCACAGGCAGTGAACGTTTACTCTCCACCCACAGGCAGTGAACGTTTACTCTCCACCCACAGGCAGTGAACGTTTACTCTCCACCCACAGGCAGTGAACGTTTACTCTCCACCCACAGGCAGTGAACGTTTACTCTCCACCCACAGGCAGTGAACGTTTACTCTCCACCCACAGGCAGTGAACGTTTACTCTCCACCCACAGGCAGTGAACGGAGGCATTGTGATGGTGAGCTTCTACAACAACTTCCTGACCTGTAGTGAGGCTGCATCTATCAAGGATGTAATCGGTACGTCTCTTCTGTCATTTGTAGAGGTGCGGGTGTGTGGAAGTGCTGGTGTGTTGAGGTGCGGGTGTGTGGAAGTGCTGGTGTGTTGAGGTGCGGGTGTGTGGAAGTGCTGGTGTGTTGAGGTGCGGGTGTGTGGAAGTGCTGGTGTGTTGAGGTGCGGGTGTGTGGAAGTGCTGGTGTGTTGAGGTGCGGGTGTGTGGAAGTGCTGGTGTGTAGAGGTGCGGGTGTGTGGAAGTGCTGGTGTGTTGAGGTGCGGGTGTGTGGAGGTGCTGGTGTGTTGAGGTGCGGGTGTGTGGAAGTGCTGGTGTGTTGAGGTGCGGGTGTGTGGAAGTGCTGGTGTGTTGAGGTGCGGGTGTGTGGAGGTGCTGGTGTGTTGAGGTGCGGGTGTGTGGAAGTGCTTCTGTGAAGAGGTGCTGGTGTGTATAGGTACTGGTGTGTAGAGGTGCTTCTGTGTAGAGGTGCTGGTGTGGAGAGTTGTTTGTGTGTATATTCGTCGCCTTAGACCTACGGTGCTTGCTTGGTTGTAGAGAATACACAGTAGTTCAGTTCAGTAATTTTTTAGGTAAAGGCAACAAGGTATAGATGAGGCCTGCCGAGGTCCTACCTAGCTCTGGTTCTGTGAGATACCGAGGAGAGCGGCCAGTGCCGGCTCTGTGGGGAATGACGTCAGAGCCCTACTCCCCTGTGATTGGCTATAACCCAACCGTCATACAATTTGAGTACAAACACCCCTCGGTCACGCTACCAAATCGACGTCCCTTGTCGACAAGCTCTGGCTAGCTAAATACAATGATACTGAAAGGACCTCGGTGGTATGCAATAATAGCTTACAAGTATAATAACAGATTAAAATAAAAAGATAGATAAGATGTGCGTAAATACAAACACCTCTCGGCATGTGCACAAAAATAAGAACATAATTACTCGGTAGAAAAACGTGGTAACAAAAATCATGGTAATCTGAACAGGAGCATGTCTGAGTATCAGATATGAACAATACTGCCAAGTCAACTGAAGTCGATACCTCATCGACTTCAGAGGGGCAAAATGTATAGTTAAAAGTAAGGGTTTCGTTGAACGAAATGTGATCTAGTCTGCTCTAATCAAACATTGTAACAACAGCCTTAATGTGAGCCCTGGTATGTACAGGTTGGATCCCCTATATAAGCCTCAATATAGCACGTCAGTATAATATAGCATACATTTAACCTGTATGGCCCTTTTATATATAGATGTATTAATATAAGAAAGTACTTAAGGAAATTCCTGTTTCAATTCTTCCTCCGTGGTCTGACAGTCATATATGTATATATATATATATATATATATATATATATATATATATATATATATATATATATATATATATATATATATATATATATGCATATATATATATATATATATGCATATATATATATATATATATATATATATATATATATATATATATATATATATTACATATAGTCCCCAGGACTATATGCAACTAAAATCTCACACCCCAGAAGTGACTCGAACCCTGTACACACCAGTTGCATTGTGCTTATGGCAATATGGGTTTGAGTATCTTCTGGGGTGCGAGTTTTCAGTTATATATATATATATATATATATATATATATATATATATATATATATATATATATATATATATATATATATATATATATATATATATATATATATATATATATATATATATATATATATATATATATATATATATATATATATATATATATATATATACTAGTAGTACCCGCCACGCGTTGCTGTGGCTCAGTCTGGTTAAATGAAAAAGAAAGAAAAGAGAAAGCGCACGTTTCTAATATGTTTAATTTGACAATGCTTGTGTGTACACAATATTTTGTTGTTGTTCCATTGTCTGCGGATATATAGAGATTGTCTGGTTTGCCGACTCTAGAACACGCAACATATAAGTGTCCTTGTGAGAAGCAATCTGTGTCTTGATATAAACTGCACAATTCTAAAGATTGGTTCCGAGCTTTGTTGAGGGTAATTCTAAACGCCAATCGAAATGGAAATTACATTGTCTTAAATCGATATGGCATATCTGTTGGAATCATAGGAATGCGAGGATTAGGACATAATCACCTTTGAAAGATCCTGTCAAGATTGTGGCTTCTACGACGTAGCTGATTATTTTTTTTTACTGCAAGGTCCATGGCATCGCAAAGCTTTGGCTGATTGATATTTCGCAACATGATAATTGGCACGCTGATTTTCAATTGCCGTACGTGTGGTGGTATCCCTGGCAGATTGAGTGAATTCAAAAATTCTGTAGGATAATTAATCGCTTCATCTGCTTCCTCAACAGTGTCGACGGACATGTATGTGACTGCCTCGCGTTGTATGTTAGACTGAATAATATTGTTAAGTTCGTAGACGTCTTTGTTCTTGGCCGCAAGAAGAGCTCGTTTATTTAGCCAATCGTGATTCTTATAATTGGTTTGAATATTGGGAAATACTTTCTTAAAAAATTCTTCGTTTGACGTTATTAAATTGTAGAAGTTATGAGGCAATGAAATTCGTCCTGAGGTCAGATCAACCGGCACGTTTCTGTTCTCAATTTCCAGAAATTGATGTGAGAATATCCTAGCTGATGGATCGTTTTGCTGCTAGACACGCATATTTGTAGTTAATTTTAACGTCTTTACATGGCTCCACAAAGTAGAGTTTTTCAGGCAAGCATTTATTTTGTCTGCTGGTGTCGATCGAGGAATTACAGGTAATGTTTTCCTGAAATCTCCTTCAAGCAATATTAATGCGTTAGCAAATGGTCTGATGTTTCACCGCAAATCTTGCAATGATCGATCAAGAGCCTCGAGCGATTTTTTGGAGTCCATTGTGCATTTTTCCCAAACAATAAGTCTACATTTCTGCAATACTTTTCCCATGCTGGATGCTTTGGAAATGTTGCACGTGGGAGTTTCAATGAATTGCATGTTCAGTGGCAATTTCAAAGTCCAATGAGCAGTTCTTCCACCAGGTAGCAATATTGCAGCTATTCTGGACGACGCAAGAGTACAGTATAGTACTGTTGTACTGAATAGTAATAGTCTGTTGTTCAACATTAAATGGCTATGCCATTTTGGAATTGAATCGCTGCAAGACTCAATCTAATTAGGAAGGTTTTACCAGTTCCTCCTGGCGCATCTAGGAAGAAGATTTCTCCAATCCCATTAGTAACAGTTTGATTTTTTTTTTATTGTAAATGCTTTTTGCTCAAGCTTACGAATATTTGATTGCACATACGACAACAGATCACCTGTGTTGTAATTTGGTACACGACGCAATTCTATAACGAACGAAGTAGCAGCAGATGGATTCGGTGATGTCATTCCCAGTTAAATGAGAACTTTGTTCGCGATTTCTAAGCTAAAATCTTTAATCATAATCAACGCTTCGTTTTAGACTTCTGCTGTGAAAACCATGTTCATATATGAAATATCCTTGTGTATTCGAAGGACAATATTTGAAGCCATGTGCGATTTATATTTCTCCCCTAACTGTGTTGGAGAGGGAGAGCAGCCGGTCAACATGATTGCAAACAATGCAAGAATTTTATTTTGTTGTGACGTGTTTGACGCGTCATTAAGTCATACATCCCAGTGTCTGTTGTTCAACATTAAATTCACAACTTGAAATGCACTACGGAAAGTGACATGTGTGACGCCGTTTGACAAATCTCAATTGCTGGAAAGACGTTGAACTGGGCACATTTACCAACAGCACGCGAAGGAAAGAGCATTCATCTTGATTGGGATGCATGGTGTACAATCTACCTATCTTAGATTGTTTGAGTATGCCAAGTTGTCTGTCGACTCTCTCTCCTAGTTTGCGACGTTCAAATGATTTTCTACTCGCATTCCATATGTATTACGTAGGCACTTCCGCATACAGCAGTGTTTTCGCAAACGCGTCATTCTAACATAACATGAAAAAAGCAGTTAACATTGTAGCTGGTGGATTCATGGCTTTTTTTTTTTTTTAGAGATATACAAGAGTTGTTACATTTTTGTACAGTCACTAGTACGCGTAGCGTTTCGGGTACGTCCCTGGAATATGACCCCCACGAAGAATCGTTGTTTTAACCAAGTACCCATTTTACTGTTGAGGTAAACAAAAGCTACAGATAAGGATTTGCGCCCAGTAAATCCTCCCCGGCCAGGATACGAACCCATGACAGAGTGCTCGCGGAACGCTAGGCGTGTGTCTTACCTCTACACCACGGAGATATTTGTTTCACATATGCAGATGTGAAATAAACACGTTGTTCATTTTCTTGTTTTCAAACCAGAAACAAAAAATACTAAGGAAATATTTCAAAATCAAACACAGCTTAATCGACACAGCTCAATTCCACCACCAACTGCATTGAAAAATAAGAACAGTTAAAAAAACGACATGAAAAAATGAAAAAAACAAAACAAAAATAAACTACCCACGAAATGAACAGTATGGTAAACAACACACCTCAATTTCAATGCAATATCACACAAAATAATTAAATCAAAATGAAAATAAATCGAAATACATGAAAATTCAATTTATCAACGCAATTGGAAACATTGAAATGGAATTGTAACAATTTTAGTATTGTGTGTGTAGTTCTTACATGCAACAGGTAGCGCTGTTTTTCAAAAAAAGCACGTTTTTTCCTGTCACAGGTGAGGCATGTATTTAGTAAGTATATAAAAACATGCGCCTATTCGAATGCAACGTTGTGCCAAAATTTCAAAGCAATCGGTAAAGGGGTTTCGAAGATTTCCTTCACGTGAAAAACACAGTTTTTCAAATAAATCATGTTTTTTCCCTTCACAGACGTGACATATATATATATAGTATATATATAAAAACCCGCTTGGATGTGACGGGAACGTTGTGTGAAAATTTCAAAGCAATCAGTGAAGAACTTTCGGAGATTAGCGATTTTGAAAAATCGAACATTTCAATTTTTATTTATATAGATAGCAT